TCAAAGACTAATGCTAAGGGTATGAAAAATGACATATAATTGAAGGTTTTTTTGGACACAGGGGCAGATGTGACTGTACTTACACCAAATCTTGACATCAAAATTGATCTCTTCAGAAGGTAGATGTTCAGTTTTTAGGAATTGGAACCTTATCTTTGGTAAAACAATGTACAAAATGGGTTGAATATATAGGGTTAGAAGGACAGAGAAGAAAATTGGGGCCATATGTAGATAATATATCAGTGAATCTATGGAGTTTTGATTTGTTACAGCAATGGAATACTCAGATTAACATTCCTCCAATGTCAGAAACTGACCATAAACAAACTCATGTTTTTGGATAAAATACTAAAAAGTAGTATGAAAGACATTTACCAAACATTCAGGCTATACAAAAACAAGGCACAACAGCTGTTGATCTCACAGATTTACCAACAGCCCCACTTTTCAAATGGTTAACTGACTTACCTGTCTGGGTTGAGCAAAGACCTTTGACACCAGAAAAACCATAGGCCTTCAAACACCTGGTTCAGGAACAGCTAAATGCTAAACATATTGAAGAATCAACCAGTCCTTAGAATTCTTTTGTATTTGTTATTAAAAAGAAATTTAGAAAATGGAGAATGCTAACAGATTTGAGAGCTACAAATAAAGTAACTCAGTTGATAGACTTTCTACTGCCTGGGATTCTTTTGCTTTCTCTGTTACCTAAAGGATGGTCTATTATAGTTATTTATTTGAAAGACTGTTTCTTCATTATACCACTACAAGACAAAGATAAAGGAAAATTTGCCTTCATGGTGTCTACTTATTTTAAACTTGTTAATAGATATCATGGAAGGTTCTCCCACAGGGAATGTTAAATAGTCCCACCCTGTGCCAATATTTTGTGTGATAGCCATAGGAAATAATTCATGTACAGTTTCCACAATCTATAATTTACCATTATATGGCCACCATCTTATTAGCTGATTCAAATGTGCATACTTTATCAAACATGTTTGAAGAAGTAAGGGAAGTTTTGCTTGCTGGGGATTACAATTTGCTCCTGAAAAAAAATACAAAGAAAAGATTCTATTAATTACTTAGGAAGTAAAATAGGTCTACAAAAATTTGACCGCAAAAGGTACAATCAATAGAGATCTATTGCAGACTCTAAATGACTTTCAAAAATTGCTGGGAGATATTGCCCATCTATGGACCACAATTTGGACCACAATTGTGGTAACCACTCCAGAACTGAGTAATTTGTTTCAAACTTTAAGAAGTGACAAGGACTTGAATAGTCCCAGAGAATTATCAGCAGAATCGGAGGGAGAATTGACTTTGGTAGAAAAGAAATTGCAGGATGTACATGTGGATCCTTTGGGTCTGGAGCTTGATTGCATTCTGGTTATTTTACGATCCATGCATGCATTCTCCTACAGGTATTTTAACATGGAGGAAAGATATCTTAGAATGGATATTTTTACCACACAAATTGAGTCAACAATTAAAGACATATATGGGAAAGGTTTCCAAGTTGACTTTAAAAGGAATGTAAGGTCTTCATCAATTGACAGAAATGGACCCAACAGAAATCGTAGTACCTTTTTTATTAATGAGGAAATTTCCTCTTTATGGGAAGAATATGAACATTGGCAAAGAGCTTGCAGTAACTTTTTGGGAGAGATTAACAGCAGATGTCACAAAAGTAAGAGACTTCAATTCTTATAAAGAACCAATTGTGTCCTTCCTTACATTGTGTGGTGAACAACAATCTCTGGAGCCCCTATATTCTATACTCATGCAAATAAATCAGGGAAGGCAGGTTATATATCAGGAATTTTAAGCAAAGTGGCTTAAGTTGCTTATGATTCTATTCAAAGGTCAGAATTATATGCTATTCTCATGGTATTAATGGATTTTCTTCCATTAATGTATATATATATATATATATATATATATATATATATATATATAAAGTATCAGATCTCATATGAGTTTTCCAGGCCCTCTAGAACAAGGTAATGATAAATTGATCCGTTATTAATAGGAAATGTGCTGGAAGCCTCAAAAAATCATAAAAAAAGCCTTGTTAATAGCAAAGGTTTTAAAAAGGATTTTTTCATCACTTGGCAAGAAGCTGAGAAAAAATGCTACTTGTTCCTCATGTAATCAAACTCCATTACCTGCATGAAGTAAACATAAAGGTATGCAAAGAAAGAAAATTTGACAAATGGATGTGTTTCATTTTGGAGAATTTGGAATATATTTTTGATAGATTCAGGATTTCAATGAGTAACTGCTTTGAGTTCTGAAAAGGCTGATTCTGTAATTACATACTTATTAGAACCATGACCATTATGGGAATACCTGCTCAAATTAAGACTGACAATGTTCCAGCACATGTCTCTAGTAAAATTAAATAGTTTTTTTGTATATTATAATATAAGGCATATTAGAAGTATACCACATAATCCAGCAGGACAAATGGTTGTATGAGGATTTAATCACATGTTAAAAGAAATACTTAATAACAGAAAGAAACAATAAAGACCCCAAGAGATAGATTGCATAATGCCTTACTAACTCTAAATTTTCTAAATACCAATGAGAAAGGAATGACAGCTGTGGAGAGAAATTGGACAATAGGAAAAAAAGCTACTGAACTAAATCAGCCTGTGTACTTTAAAGATGTGTTGACCTCAGAATGGAAACCAGGATATGGGAAAGGGTTTTTGCTTTTGTTTCCACAGGAGAAGTGGGATTTTAAAAATTCAGTTTGAACAGGAGAGACCTCTTAATAAGGAGAAGTGATTGTCTCTCAACCAATGTGGCAATTCAACAGGCTAATAAAAAAAAACTCACCCTATAAGGATTGGGGCAGGCTTCTGTTTTTGTCTTTACAGGAAAATAGAAATACCTTCTTCAAGAAGTTAAAATACTTTGGACGTCTAGACTTCTAATAAAGAAGGAAAAAAATATCCAGAAAAAAATTACCAAGTAAAGAAAAATCTAATGGAACAAATATTCTCTAAAGGGTAAAAACATCTCACTAACTAAAAAGTAAAATCTCTTTACTTCTCAAAATAGTTGTTTATATTCATTTAAAATCTAAAGCTGGCTTTGGAGTTGGAGTATTGTTCTCTCCTCTAAATCCAAACATGTTGTTAAAAAAACTTCAGAGTCTCTGTCTCATATCAGAAGAGCCACCTGATGTGGGACAGAAGAAAACCAAAATCTAGGGACTATTGCCATAAATCTCTTTCCCCTCATACTTATTTAGAACTTTCCTTTAGATATAATACTATCTAAAAATTTAAACTTTATGTTTTAATATTAATAATTTTAACTTTTCTAGGGTGAATAGCACATTTCCCAACAGCAACCTTTGAAGTCTCCAAAAGGATGTTGGGGTTCCACAAGAATGATTCTACCTGGATCATAATAATACAGTTGACCCAATTAACACCATTCAAAGATCAGCTTTAAACTACAACTGCTCAGGATGATTCCAAGGTTGCAAGCTGAGATGTTCCATCTTCTTACACTACTATAACCAGGAATTCAGATACATTGTACTCATTATTCAGAGACTAGCTACAGCTAGTCCTCATGAGATTTAACTATTGCTTTAGTCTTTTACAGGTTCCTATAGAGATACTGTCACCTCCTTCAGACAGCAGGAAATAATTCTAAGAAAAAGATACTCCCTTTCCCTGAAGGTGGGCTGGTTGGTCTTGGTTTTTATCAGGGATATGGATAATAATCATCTTTAGGGGGTTAGTAATCAGTTGTTATAGTGTTGGGGACAGAACAATAGAGATTAGTCTCAAGGATCTTGTCTGGAATAGAAAAAAGGGGCTTAGATATGATAGGATAATAAGGTATATTTACTTGTAAACTATAATCAGTTTTAAATAATTTGCATTGGTATGGATTCTTGTATATTATTATAAATTCAAAATTATTTTCTATTCATGTTTAAGATAATTTGTATGTTGATAAAAATTCAAAACTATATTTGTTGTATTATATATGTTTTAAAGAAGTTTTTGTATATTGATACAAATGTAAAATTATTTTTGTCATACTGCATGTATGTTTTTATTTATTTTAAGATATTTTACATATTGATGCAAATTAAGGTTATTTTTGTCATATTGCATTATACATTTCTGTAAGCTGTGAATATATGTTTCTCTTATTGGTTGATGAATAAAGTGGTTTTGGCCAATGGACAGGCAGGATGTAGCCAAGCAGGAAGGATAGGTGGGCTACCAGGTGAGGAGAATGCTGGAAAGAGGAAGTCAAAGAGAGAGCCCCTAGGGAGACAAGGTGTAGCCAGCCACCAAAGGAGTAACATGTCAGAGAATTATGGGTAAGCCTCATGGTAACACATAATATAATAGAAACGGGGGTTAATAATTAAGAGAGAACTAGCCAATAAGAAGCCTTAGCTATTGGCCAAACAGTTTATAATTAATATAAGACTCTGTGTATTTATTTGAGACTAAACAGCTGCAGGACCAGGCGGGACAGAAACTCCTTCTTTAGAAATCATGACAAAATGGAGGCTAAGATTGGTGCACACCTTTAATCCCAGCAATTGGGAGGTGGATTTCGGTGAGTTTGAGGCACAGGGTGAGTTCCAGGACAGACTCCAAAACAATATAGACAAGCCCTGTTTGGAAAAACCAAGTGTGTGTGTGTGGGGGGGGGGTTGGCTATTTTTAGAGAGTTTCATTGAAAATCATTTCTCAGAACAGACAGAAGCAATGTGAATGGAGCTGTGACAGTGACCTTGCCCTCGGGGTAAACACATGATGGTTTCATTAGGAAGGATGAGATCTAAGAAATTATTTGTAACAGCGAGTAAGGATTCATCAGTGATATTTATTTTACACCAATCTGGGTAAACCTTCAAAAACCTTCAAAGACCATTTTTATGGCTACAATATGTGTTTTACCTAATGAAAGAGTAGAAACTGCGACTGGATCCAAAACATGTTATTAGCGGTGTAGGAAGGGAACAAATGAGACTTTGTTGAGCAGGAACCAAGAGTTCTTTGCTTCCACATCCTCAATTCTTCCTGGATGAGAAATGGCCTCAGCATCTCTTTGTGCCATAGAACGTATGACTAAGCAAAGGTCCCAGCTGAAGCATAGATCTTTTTTGCCCTGCTCCAAGAAAGCCCAAATTTACTATCAAATGCCCTTTATGTAACTGACAACAGCATTTGTAAGTTTCACAGAGCAGGGGAAAGAAAAACACTTCTTATCAAACAACACTAGGCACCCATGAAAGCCATCTTCCACATGGTACCAGCTCACAGGGACCTCCTGCTCTTCCAAGCGCTTCTTGTAGAGCAAGACATCATCCCGGAGGATGTCATGCTCGCAGCTCACCAGAAATGTCTCAGGAAACCGAGCAATGATCTTGTCATCTGCTAGAAGAGGTGAAATTTCTGTACTCCAAGTATGTTTGGTTTCTAGATAGGCGGCCTCATTAAAAGGCCCAATAATCTCTGGTTGTGGATCTTGGCTCCAGAATCTTTTGGGTATGTTGTCAGAGCTGAGCCATTTCCTGTATTTCTTCCACTTGTCCAGAGGTATAACAGCACCTGCCAACATGGTGTCTTTCCAAGAGATGTCAATGGCCAGGTGTTTACACAAACACATAAACAACATGTCTCTTGTAAGGAATGGCACATTTTTGTTCTGCTGATGTGATGGTAACTGAAAATTGATGAAATTCACTAGTGGATAAATTAGGATTTGAGCCTTGATCCTGGGTAGACTAGGATTGCTGACTAAGGTCTTCATGACAGTGGGCGCAGCCCAACCTCCAATACTCTCTCCACAGAGAACCACCCGGGATGGGTCCACCCCAAAGGATTCCAGGTTCTTCAGGAAATAGATGGAAGCATTCTGGCAATCATTGGTAAGGACAGGATGGTGGTAGTGAGGAAGCTTGCGGTACCTAAGGAGGAAAGAGGAAGCATTGTGAGCATCTTTACAAAGGGCTTCACTAGAGCTCATTTCAATCATCCTCTAGTCTCAAAAGGGACCAAACCAACATGGCAACCCTCACTTTTCCTTCATGGACTTGAGGGACCCTGAGGATCAGGGAGGCCGGGATGGTCCATTTCCACATACACTGTGCTTCCCATAGATGAGTACAGCCTGCACAGAATCCACCAAGTTCAGTCACGTTGTCTTAGAAAACAGAGCAACCAGCACAGACGCAGGAAAGGCTGCTGGAAGTCTTCTGGCCCCACCTCTTCCTGGACTCACCTTTCCCTGATGTGCTGGGCACAGGGTGAACATTGTTAAAACCACCCCTAATTACACTTTAAGTCACCACCAATGTTAGTAATAATGCATTCATTCTAATGTTTATTTTCCTGTGAGTAAGCAGAAGTGTTAGGACATTAGGCAAATGGACTCATTAGTGGTTTGACAATGATGATGACTGACCCTTGGAAGAAGCCTGAGGGACTATCCAGCAGCCATACAAGAGCAGAGACGAGTCTTCAGGTATGCCAGTGAGAGGTAGCACAGAAGCTGTACAGACCAAAGTATAGAGCAGTAGAGAGACAGTAAGGGAGACAGAGGCAGCAGGGGTCACAGCAGGAGACACAAAAGAAGTAGAAACTGTAGCTTTAAAGGCCAAGAGTTCTACACACTCCATGTCAGGAACTGTGAATAAGTGACTGTCAAGGCCTGGGGAATTGTGACATGCTTGGCCATGTCGGGAGTTGTATATTAAAACAAACAAATAAGCAAGCAAGCAAGCAAGCAAACATCCAAGGCCTGGGCCCCCCTTTCTTGTTCTAATGTCATCCAGATGGTTACAATATATAAGTCACCAATTGCCTCAGGCCACTCACCCCACCATCAGCACCACTGAGTCTGTCTCACTGGCCAAGAGGCTGCCCAGGCTATGGTAACAGTCTGCAAGAGAAGACTCAGTGTTGACAAGGACCAAACACTTTCTACCACAACCCTGGGACATCAGCTACCATGGTGGATCCAGAGAGGACATCTTCTCTCTGAAGTTCAGAGAAGGGCAGTGCCTACAGCAGGTGAAGGGCAGGAAGAGATGCAAGAGACATGACTGGAGAGGACATAAAGGAGTACGAGAGAAGATGCAATACAGCAGTGACAGGCTCTGAGTGTTTTTTGGGGACCCTTCTGGTGGAAAGATGAGAAGTGGAGATAGGACATTGTGTTTTGGGTTCAGCAATGAAGGGGATGAGATCATGTGCCAGATTCTACCTTTGATGAAGACCTTTTTTTACCCCACCTCAAATGAAAGCTCCTTACCCATGCTTCCAAACATTGCACCTCCTCCATGATAGAAGATGATGCCTCGCCGGGGTTGGGAAGATACTTCCTTGGGCTTCAGCAGCCTCACAGGGATTGTCCCAAAATGCATGTCAGTCACCAACACGTTGGGATCCTTCTTTATCGCCATTAGGCCTTGGAGAAACTGTACAAATCTGGGCATGGCACAAATTCTCAGCTTCTCTAGTATGTTCCCCTGTAGTAGGTAAAGGATGGGAAGTGAGGCATGAGAGGGTGTGGTGGGTGAGTAGCAGCTGAAGCCACTTAGCATTGCTCAGGTGTGTGCACCATTTCTCACCTGCTTATTCCATGTGTGAAGGGGTCATGGGGACAGAACGCACTGTGCATTCTTTTCATATAGGGGACCTGTTCAAGAAGTGTTCCTACAGTGTCCTGAACAAATAATTATGTTGCTGTGATTGAAGTTTTGGCCTCCCTCCATCAAAATTCACATTCAAATTCCATTGCCAGTGTTAAGAGGTCAGCATTTAAGTGGCGATGATGTGGTGCCCTCTTATGTTAATTAAGTTCTTTATGAGGTGACTGTGATGAGGATCTTCCTAATAGGTTCATGGGGAGGGAGGATAGGCCACATGGTTTTTCTGTCCTATGAGCATAGGCATGCCTTCCTTTTCTACTAACAGGTGACATACATTGGCTTATTGCTGGAACCATTGCTCTAGGGCTTCCCAAATCCCAAGAATGGGTACAGCTATTACTCCTTTCTCTGGGTGACACCAAATTGCATGGTGTGGTCATAGCAAGCCAACAGAAGGAAAAAAATGGAAGGAAACCCCATGGCGGAGCCTCAGGAGGAAAGAGCCAGGTAGATAATTGAGACAACTGATAGAATACTTTCATACTATTAAACTTTGCTAATGCATAATTTTTAGTGTTTCTTTGGACCCTGGATTTCAAGGCCAATTTGTATTTTCTTGAAACCATCAACAGTGTACTTGAGAATCATATCCCACACATACTTCATACTCCTTCTACTTGTCATGGGCTGGTGACCCAGGATCATGCTTTATTACCCTATCCATCATCTGTAAAAACTCCATTGCCTAGACAGCAGATTGCTAATCTGTTAGTGTTCTACAGATTGAGAATTAACCAAAATGGAATACAGAAGCACCTCAAGAATAGAGATGGATGATGAGTTACCGATTCAACTGGTCAAAAGGAACAGGCATAACTGTAAAATTCTTGAGGTGCTCCTGTATTCCACTTTGGTTATTTTTTAAATAGGTTATTAGAGCAAGATTTAAGGAGCTTAAGGACAGAGGCAACCTGCAGGGGTGAAAAGGACACTCCCAGAGGCCATAGTTTGTTAAATGAAAACCACAGGTGCCACAGAGGGGTTTCCTCCCTACAAGTTGTTGGCCAGAGGGACATCTGAGGCCCCCATAGAACATAAAGGCTCTTGCCACTGCAGTTAGATATTTGCCAGGACATAATGGTAAGACTATTGCTAAAGACACCATGTGGCCTGGTGACAGTACAGGGAGAAATAAACCTGGGACAGAGGTGGGAGTTTTATTCTTACTGGCTGTCTTTCATAGTGCCAGAAGGTGCTGTGTGGGCTGCTGGAGGAGAACTGTAACAGAAAGCCCTGATCAGCTATGGTCTCTGCATGCTATAGTGCTAAATGCCAGGCAAGGTGTATCTGCTTGTTAAATAGTGACATGACAATTGTGGGGCAATCAACAGCTTTCCACTGCATGTATTAGAGACTTAATGTCTGGTACTGTAAGCCAAGATAAAATGCAATGGCTAGGGAAGCTGTAGCAACCAGAGGAAAGTCCTGATAGTGTGTGCTTAATGTATATGAGGACCTTAGTGATTGCCTTCTGAACATCTGTGCATAAGCCCAATGATCACTGTTGCTGTTGCCCTCAGAATTCCTTTTGCAATTGATGTTGTCCACAGAGGACCAAAAATCACCAACAAAACTCGTAAGAAATTCCTAAGAATTAGTGACTACTGATGTGGAACAGGGCACTCTGATGCGGCACGGGGTACTCTGAGCAGAGGTGCAGAATTGAGGTTCCCAGACCTGTTAAGAAGAAAAAGCCTCCAAAGGACTCAAATATCGGAGATCAGAGGCTGTGTTCTTGAGAAAGACAACCTCTACCTCCATATTGTACTGGTGGCTGCTTTTTCTTAGAAGGTGTCACTATCCTGCCCAGACACTCTTAAAGTCACTGACGACACCATTGCAAGTGTGCAGTTATGTAGGTGCCTCACTTCCACTGAGCCAGAGGTCTATGGGGAGAAGAGCCCCATGCACGCCATTCCACCTTGTTCTCCACATCTGCAATAAATAATAATAGGTTGTTCAGGAATTTTGAAGAATGCTAAGTCATACAGGAAACTTTCAAAGAACGAATAAGTATTCTTTTGTTTTGTTGTTGAGGTCACAAAGCAAGGCTATGCTTCTCATTTGAGGACCATGGAATGTCTCCAGGCTATTTTTTCTCCTACATAAACATCTTCTCTCCCTTTTCTCCGTTTTGGGCTGTGTGAACATCAACCTCTTGGATCTCTTCATGCTCAACATCCTCAAAGAAAGCATGGCTGGGTTCTCTGGGCTGGAGAGATCAGGCAGAATCTCCCACATAGAACACATCCTGCAGAGCCAACAGTACATTTCACAGCTTCTGTGAGCATATGGAGCAAGCCAGCATCAGCAGGTGCTTAGCTTGGGGACTGTCATGAAAATAAAACAGTAAGGTTATAACGATCCACAAGTTTCTGTGTCTTGCAAACCCAAGGCACTAATTTATAGTGCCAAGAGCTCATATAAGCATGAGGCCCTTAAAATGTCTTATTTCTCTAACATGGGTCACAGTTTGTGGTGAGAAAACTTCATAGGAAATGAACATATGTTTTTGCTACTTTTGCCAGCATGGCCATTAAGAAGCCATTACTTAATTCAGACAAGGATGCTGAGGCACAGAGTATTAGTCAAAGTTGAGCCAGTGCAAACACAGCAGCAATGCTCACCAGATAGCCTGGCTTGTCACCTTTCTCTTCACACCTCCTCCTCAGCTGACCTTTGAGGTAAACACCGTGAAACAGCTGGCAACTACTAGCTTTCCAGTCGGAATTTCAACATCAAAGACTTATTCAAATTGCCTACTTCTCATATGGGGGCCAAACAATCCTTTACTCTTCTGCTGTTACTATCATCATGAGTTGATCCCTGTCCTCAAAATCCAGCCCAGGAGGCCAACAGAGAGAATCACTGTCTGTGCACCCATGCTAAAGGGCTGGGAGAAATCCATTACATTGATGTCATCAAACAGGGCCTCAGAACAAAGCAGAGTAAATTCATCTCTGTCCTTAGGATCTCATATGGATGTAAGAAATCACTAGGAGACAGGCACATGGAACAAGGGGCAAGGGGGCTGTAGCCCCTTGTGTTTTTTAATCTATCAGGCTTTAGGGGTAGCACCTGTGTCCGAAATTATTTTCATCATCTTCAGAAAGTAGCTTCATAGACCCTGTAATTTCATCCCTGAGGAGATGCGAGTAACCGAAGGCCAGTTTAATGATAAGGCCATTCTAGATACACTGTGAGATCCCTTCTCAGCAAGAAAGAAAGTAAAAAGAGAAAGTGGAAGAAAAGAGAAAAAGAGGAAGGAGCGGAGGAAGCAAGGGAGAGAGGGAAAATCCAAGATGAGAAAAAGGGAAGTAAAAGGGATGGAGAAGGTGAGATTTGGGAGACTAGAGAATCCCCCACTCAGTCTTGTGAGAACCTAGAGAAAGAAGAGAGAGGAATGAAAGGGAAGGGTAAGGTTCAAAGAACACCTCCCCCCCAAGCCATATCAGGGCCCAAGGGAAAACTCACCAAAGTTATCAGGTACTGTATAATGCAATGCATAAGCCTTAACTTGACCGAATGCTTCAGGGTGGAGGGCATTTCTGCAGCGAGAAAGTGCTGAAGAGCAACCCACACAAAGAGTCCCAGTAAGAAGGAGGGCAGCCCTGCGAGCAGCAGCAGCCACAGGACAGCCATGACCCAGATGCTCCAGAGCCCCCAGCAACTGTTGCCTGGGGAACTTACTTCAGAGCTTCTGTGAAGACAACCTGATCCTGCGTTACATGCTGCTGTCCCCACCTTCTCTTTCTAGAGTAGGTCTGCCACAGTGACCTGACCTGTGTCTCAGAGCTCCACGCAAGCCAGCCAGCCAATGAGAGCCCAGGGTTTAAAAAAAAAAAAAAAGACTGAGAAATCTCTCCTACCCTTTAAGGAAAAACTGAGAATGAGGCTTACCAGCATCTGTGGGTCCCATAAGAGGTCTGACAAGGTTATACCTGACACTTCAACTCTATGAATGGCATGTACTTCCTTCGCAATAGAGCATGGGTTAAGGTGAGCAAGGCTCTTCCCAACCCAACTCTGTGCTTTACTGCCCCCCATATATATTTATTGACACAATGCAGGATGCAGAGACTTGAAGAGACTCTTCAAGATGCAAACAACCATCTGTTAATGGTCAGCAAGATGATCAGCAGGTAAGTTAAAGCACTTGCCAACAAGACTGACAACCTGAAATTGATCCCAAGACTCACAGAGTAGAAGGAGAGAGTTGACTCCTACATGTTGTTTTCTAACCTCCACACATGTGCTGTGGTAAACAAATATATATACACACACTGAAATACACATAAATAAGTTTATTTTTTAAGTAAAACAACGACAACCAGCATCTGGGCTGGCAGGATGACTCACCAGACCAGTGCCCTTGCCACACAAGCATGATGAACTCAGATCAGTCCTCAGGATCCACATTATAAATGTGATACAACAGTATACATCTGCAATGCCAATAATACTACTGTGCAATGGGAGGCGGAGTCAGGAGAATCGCCCAGAACACCACAGTCTACACGGCAATGGGAAGAATAACAAGAAAGAGCCTGCATGCAGACAGAAGGTGAGAACCAGCTCTGGAAAGATGCCTTTGATTTTCACATGCACACTGTGACACATGACTGTTCACACTCACATACATGCATCATACATACAATGACTAATATTAAAAAGAGAAACAGGTTCCCTTGCTTCCTTTGAAAATCACACCTCACTGTCAAAAATAGACAAATATCTTCAACGAGGGAGAGGAAAGCTATTTCAGAGGAAACTAACTAGGAAACAAAATTGTCTATTTTAACAAAATAGACTTTAAAGAAAAACTATTCATAAGAGGTAAATAAAGAAGGACACTTCTTAATTAAGGCAAAAATTCATCAATAGAACATTACAATTCTATTTCTTTCTAGTCTTTTGAGACAGGGTTTCTCTGTGTAGATTTGAAACCTTTTCTGGAACTCGCTCTAAAAACCATTCTGGCTTCTAACTCCCAGATATCTGCCTGCCTCTGCCTCTCCAGTGCTAGCACTAAAGGTGTGTGCTACCACCATCTGGCTACAACTCTAATTTTATATGCCCCAAATCCAGGTGGCCCTAATTTCATAAAAACAATACCAGTATGTAAAAAGCCTCAGATTAACCCCAATATAGTAATAGTGGAGTGATTTCAAAGTTCCACACTGGACAATAGGTAAGTCATCTAGACCAAAAAGAAGTACAGAAACATTAGGGTTAGATGAAATCCTAGATCAAATGGATACAACTAATATCCAGAACATTCTACTCAACTACTTAAGAATACATGATCTTTGCTTTTCTGAAGTAGGACTTACATTAGGAGACAAAGCAAATCCCAAGAAGACAGGGAAATAAAGTGCCTTCTTATATTCTGTCTGACCAGAACTAAATAAAGCTAGAAATCATTAGCAAGAACAAATACAGAAAGCATACAAATTCATGGAGACTAAACAACTCAGCACAATAATGAAGAGGTTATTGAAGAAACTGATAGTTTCTTCAATAGGAAAGAAAGCCTTCCTAGAATCCAACGAAAATGAAAGATCAACATACCAAAAGAATTCAAACCAAATCTGGAAGTAAGGCTAGAAACTGGGAAATGGAACCTCATGAAAAATTTAAAAAATGGTAATCCTATTGAAGTGTCAAACTAGAGAATAGGAGAGTCTTGGGAAACATTTGACTGATAATTCATATCCAGAATAAGCAAAGAACTAAAACAAAACAAAGAAAGAAAGAAACAAACAAACAACAACAACAAAAAAAAAAAACCCAAAACTACACAAGAAGCCAATGAAAAGAAATATGCTATCTGCCCTCAGGACATTCCAACACCCTAGGTTCACAACCCAAAGTCCCAACCCATGCCACCGCTTCCCATGGCATTGCCCACCTCTGTTGCCAGGACCCCACCACCACCCTGGGCAGATGCCCTCTGCTCAGGGGTAGGCCATGCCAGTCAGAAAACAGGTGCAGGTCATACCACTCAGAAGAACAGCTGCAGAACAATCCAGTCAGAGCAGGTTCAGGTCACACAAGCCAGGAAAACATACCATACCAGCCAGGACAGATAAACAGACTCAGGCAGAGACTCACTGGTAGACCAGAGGTCATTCCAGCCACCAGAACTCCAGCCCCCAACTCAGGCAGAGATTCCCTACTGGACTAGAAATCACACCCATACCAGCCTCCAGAACTCCAGAGAGGTGGCCCCCATGGACCACATCCACTGCTCAGTGCCACCTCTCACACATTATCCCCAATCCCCACCACTCCTCATTACTGGGTCATAACCCCAATTCTGATGGGACCCCCTTGCTGGAACAAAGGCCATGCTAGTCACCTAAAGTCCAGCCCCAAACTTGGACAGAGACTCCCTGCTGGATTAACTTCCATTAGTTAGACCCCAAAAGACCAAAGTCCAAAGAGGAAACAGAAGTAAAAAGACAGAACACCCTTCTAACAAAGACCAATTCAGAAGTTGCAACTGTAACTCATATTCATTCCACACCCAGATGCCTAGATGACAATGTAAGAATACAACCATCAACAGCCAGGGAAATGTGGTGTCACCAGAGCCCGGCTGTCCAACTGCAGCAACTCCTGAATATCCCAACACAGCTGAAGCACAATAAAATGCCCTTAAAAGTAACTTTATGAAGATGATAGAGGCTCTTAAAAAGGAGATAAATTAATATCTCAAAGAGAGCCAGGGATGTACAAACAAAACAATTGGAGGAAATGAATGAAAATAAACCAACAGTCGAAGGAAATGAATAACATTGCTCAAGACCTGAAAATGGAAATAGAAGCAATGGAGAAAACACAATAAAAGAGATGGAAAATATAATCTCAGGCATTGAAGATGCCAAAGAAGAAATGGATACATCTGTCAAAAAAATGTCAAATCTAAAATATTCCTGACACAAATCATCCAGGGAATCTGGGACACTATGAAACGACCAAACCTAAGAACAATAGGAATTGAAGAAAGAGAAGGTGAAGGAGAAGAAGGAGAAGGAGAAGGAGGAGGAGGAGGAGGAGGAGGAGGAGGAGGAGGAGGAGGAGGAGGAGGAGGAGAAGAAGAAGAAGAAGAATCCCAGCCCAAAGGCCAAGGAAATAACTTTTAATGAAATCACAGAAGTAAAGTTTCCTAACTTAAAGAATGACATGCCCATAAAGGTACAAGAAGCCGACAGAACACCAAATAGATTGGACTAGAAAAGAAGACCCCTTAGCCACATAATAATCAAAACACTAAAAATGCAGAACAAAGAAAGACAATTAAAAGTTTCAAGGGGATAAGGTCAGGTAATATATATGCATACCAATTAGAATTACAATTTCTCAACAGAGACAGTGAAAGGCAGAAGGGCTTGGACAGACATTTTTTAGACTTGAAGCAATTACCGAATCCAACACAGACTACTATACCCAGAAAAACTTGCAATCAACATAGATGAAGAAAACAAGATATTCCATAAAAAGTCAAATTTAAACAATATCTGTCCACTAATCCATCCACAGAATGGGTATTAGGTGGAAAACTATAACCCCAGGAAGTTAACTGCATCCATGAAAATACAGGAAATGAATAATCTCACTCCAGAAAAACCAAAGGAAGGGAAACACATATACCACAACAATAAAATAATAGGAATTAATATCTTTATTTATTAATATCATATAATATTAATGGACTCAATTTCCCAATAAAAAAAACACAAGTTAATAGAATGGATGCAAAACAAGATCCAGTCTTCTGCTGCATACAAGAAAAATACCTCAGCATCAAAGATATATATTACCTCAGAGATAATGCTGGTAGAAGATTGTACAAGCGTATGGACCCAAGAAGTAGGCTGGTATAGCTATTCCAATATATAACAAAATAGACTTCCAATAAAAATTAATCAATAGAGATGGGGATAGGACACTTCATAGTCAACTCTTAATATCTAGGTCTCAAACACAGGACATTCATGTTTGTAAAAGAAGCATTCTGATGTAGGAGGTTCCTTTGTATGCTGCAAACATATGTTGCTTTTATTGATTGATGAATAAAGCTGTTTTGGCCAATGGACAGGCAGGATTTGTCTAGGAGGGAATTCCAAACAAAGAGGCAGAAAAAAGAAAGACAAAATAGAGACACCACGTAGCTACCGGGAAGGTAGGACACTTGGGCATTCTCTGGAAAGATAAGGCCGTATGGAGATTCACAGATTTATAATTATGGGTTAACAATTAAGAGATATCTAGCCAGTAAGCCAATGGCCAAACAATTATAAATATTTAGTCTCAGAATAGTTATTTCATAGAGGCTCCTGGGACTCGACTGGGTAGAGAAAAACCAGTCCAATAGTACTGAGACTAGACAAAAAAAAAAAAAAAAAAAAAAAAAAAATCTCAATACATTACTAAAGCTTAAACACATTGATCTTGACACATTGACTTCAATAGTGGAAAACTTCAATAGCTCACTCCACCAACAGATAAGTCCTCCATACAAAACTAAAAAAGAATATTGGATCTAATAGACTTATGAACTGAATGTACGTAACAGTTATCTACAGAATGTTTTACCCAAACTCCAAAGAATATGCATTCTTATCAGCACCACACAGAACTTTCTTCAAAATT